AAAATGTTGACTCCATTGTTATTTTCAACATTGGATGGTCAAATAAGACATAACATCATTCTAGACCTCCAGATGGGACCGGCTACATAATTTGCGGGGTCCAATACAAAATGCAAATGCAGAGCCCCTTGTTCAAAAGTAAGAATGTCAAGCCAGCGACAGCAGAACACTAAACCAAGCTCAGGTTGCTTCTGAGTGCAAAGCATGCTGGGGCCCTGTGCAAACGGCCTTGCATGAGCATGAAGCCAACTCGCCTCAAACGTGGGCACTTCCTAAGAACTTGTTGAATTAAGTGGAAGGAAGGGGTCGGGCACAGTGGCTCACACCTGTAATCCCAGCACTTTGGGAGGCCGAGGCGGACAGATGACTTGAGTTGCAGACCAGGCTGGAGTTCTAGGCCAGCCTGGCCAACACGGTGAAACCCTGTCACTGCCAAAAAATACAAAAAAATGGTGGTGCACACCTGTAGTTCCAGCTACTCAGGAGGCTGAGGTGGGAGAGTCACTTGAACCTGGGAGATGAAGGCTGCAGTGAGCCGAGCTTGCACCACTGTGCTCCAGCCTAGGCAATGGAGCAAGACCCTGTCTCTAAATAAATAACTAAATGGAAAGAAGGGGAAAAGGAAGGAAAATGAACACCTATACAGCACCTACTATGCATCAGACATAGCTTTATAAAATAGCAATACTTATAAAGCACTCACCACGTGCCAGGCACCGTAGGCAATAATGCATCTAAACCTCACACCAGCGCTGTAAGATGGTGCTCTTGTGAATCCCGTTTTCCAGATGAGGAAGCTGGGACTCAGGGAAGTGAAGCCACTTGGTCACTGCTAATTACTGTGGTGGCAAGGGGTGAGGGAGAACAAATGGGAAAAATAAGAGGGAGACCAAGGCAAGAGGAAGAGAAGCCACCCCAAGCCTGTCTCCCAAGCTGGGCTGCACTCAGGTCTCTGCCAAGACCGCGTGGAATTTGGGGAGGCCGCCACACCCCAGAGAAGGGCCCGTGGCATTTCTGAATCACGGTGCCATCCGCCCCGGCTTGGCTCCTCTCCGGCGATCCAATTACTAAATGTAGCCGCATTCTTTAAAAATGTCTTTCCTCTTATGTAATGCAATAGTGACAAACGCCAAACAGATGGTGCTGTGACAAGCTTTTTAAAAGTTGATTAGGAGCTCATCTTTCAAAATTAATGTATGGGCATTTAAACAAGCTTCAGTCGGCCACAAAACTCAATCAAGAATCCATAAGGGACAAATTGCTTGGTGGACTGGCTACACTCACAACCTTCCCGGCCAGGGTTTGATGGGAAAAGTTTGGGGAATGGTAATAGCATGGGTCAGGTTGACTTGTGAGCCGGGGTCAAAAAGACAGCTGGTTTGGGCAGAGAGGAGAAATGCCTTGGGCCTCCCGAAAGCTCAAGAGGCTGGAGCCTCCTCAATCTATTTACGAAGACTTTGTTGTTTTTTTTCTCAAAATTGTACATCGTCTTCGAGAGAGCGGACAGTCTCTCCCTGCCTCAGGAGGGAAGCGGGTTAGTCACAAACTATGTCAGATGCTGCCAGCGAGCTGTTTCACCCCCACCCTTTCTTCCTCAGTGCTCAGGGATGAGATCATTTCATTTGGAGCCAATTATAGACGGAGAATGCTGGGGATGTGCAAAGAACCCTCCTCAGAACCCTTCCCTCCCACATCACAGGCTGTACCCTGCCAGGATGGGCAAGAACAAGAGGCCAAGCACCCAGCCCCAGATCCCACCCCAGGGTTTCTGAAGGCCATGCATTCCTAAGTCATAGCTTGGATCTGTCAAGCTAGGATGCCAAGCTGTTGGCTAGACAAAACCTGTTGGCCTCAGAAGTTCAGAGCTGTATGAGCCCTTAAAGATCACCACTGTTCAGATGGGGAAACTGAGACTCAGAGAAGGGAAGCAGCTTGCTCGGGGTCCCATGGCAAGTTGGCAACAAAGCCAGAGAGGTGAATGGTGGCTTCTCTACCACCCACGAGGAGGATGCCTGTGGTCTGAAACCTGCTCAGCATCCCTTTCCACTGCTTCTGAGGCAGGGGTCCCAGGTTTCCTTCTTGGTTTATGTGGTTCAAGTAGGACTGACCATGCCTTCACTTCCAAGGATATGCACCTGACCCAGCACCAGCCAATCAAAACAGCATTCCCCCTACACAACTCCCCAATTGATTCAGGAATATGAACCGGGGTTGTGAGGTGAGGCAGCAGCTTCAACCTTTAAACCCCTGGATCCAGCCATACCTGAAGGCAGTCTTATCCTGGATATTTTCTTTACATGAATCGATCAATTCTCTTTGTTCAAGTTGGTTGAGTTCTTTCACTCATTTCCCAAAGGGTCTTGACTAATGGAAAGACTTGGAGGTCCTTGGGTATAGGGCAAGGCTTCAAAACATAACACTGAGTGTTCCTCATCTCCATGAGTGTTCCCAACACATTACTGGCCTCATCCCCAGAAGATTCCCCAAGTCTCTGCTCAAGCTCCAGTAACACACTCCAAAGAGAGTACCCAAGGTAAATGCCCTGTTTCGTGGTACACAAGAGTCGGCTCTGCCTTCTGGGTATCCATAACCAAGCTGCTCCCCACCACAGCCTCTGCCTTCCTATTGGGTCAAGAGCACACGCTTTGCACTCCAGTTCAAATCCCAGCCGCAACGATTCCTAATCATAAGACCTTGGACAAGTCATGTGACCATCCTGAAGCCCAGTTTCCCATCTGTGAATGGGGAAAAGATCACCTACCTCACACAATCCATGAGAGGATTAAAACAAGTACTATACTATTTAGGGGCTGAAAACGTTGGTAGCTACCAAGAACTACAAAAAGTACACACTGCAGAGCTGGGGCAATCACTGAGCACGGTGTGTTTGGGAAGACAGCATCTTCATGTATCAAACGATTTCCACCTAAAACAGCTTCCTGCAGCCAAAACAAGTGTAAGGGTAGAGGCAGGGAATGCTGACTGCGGGGTATGAGTCGAGCAGCCGCTTGCTGACCTCGTGGCCGCCTGCTTCTTTCTCCCCTCCGTTGCCCCTTGGCCCAGGCTTCTCACCCCAGACCAGCACACACAGGTGCTGCTGACATGCTCACCCAGTGACTCATTCACACTCCCAGAGAGCAGGAACAGACAGTGATTCCCAGGAGCGCCCAGAGTCCTGTTTTAGGAAGGAGGATAGAGTGGCAGTAACATTTGAACCAGTTCCTGCCCAGTCCCAAGGACAGCTGAAAGATAAACCTCCTCCCCCAACACCATGGCAGGGAAGCCTGAACCAGCCCGCTCGGAACTAGCAAGAGACTGAACTAAGATTCCCCCAAAACATTCTTTATTCATTACAGCAGCGCTTCCTGAAGTGGGGGACTCATATTTTAGGTGGTTTTACGCGAACTCAGGATGCAGCATTGAATAACTGACTCCAGCACTGATCCGTGCTACAAGACAGGAGAACCTTGAAAACATTCTGCCAAGTGAAAGCAGCTAGTCACGAAAGACCACATAATGTGTGATTCCATTTATATGAAATGTCCAGAATAGGCAAATCCATAAAGACAAAAAAAGATTAGTGGTTGCTGAGGGCTAGAGGGGTCGGAGCAAGGAGAGACTGCTCATGAGTACAGGGTTCTTTAGAGGGGGACAAAAATGCTCTAAATTAGACTGCGGTGATGGTTGTACAATTTTTTGTATATACTGAAAACAATTGAACTGTACACTTTAAATAGGTGAATAGCGTGGTACGTGAATTTGCTGTTAAAAATATTTATGACAACTGACTCCTAAAGGAAGAAAATTAGCACCCTTTTAAGTCTTTTATTTTATTTATTTATTTATTTTTGAGGCAGGGTTTCCCTCTGTTGCTCAGGCTGGAGTGCAATGGCGGGATCTCGGCTCACTGCAGCCTCCACCTCCAGGCACAGGTGATCCTCCCACCTCAGCCCCCTGAATTGCTGAGGCCACAGGCACCCACCACCACACCCAGCTAACTTTTGTATTTTTTTTTTTTAGAGATGGGGTTTTGCCATGTTGCCCAGGCTGGTCTCAAACTCTTGGGCTTAAGCAATCTACTCACCTAGGCCTTCCAAAGTGCCGGAATTCCAGGATAATTTTTCTAATTTGTCCAGGAGCAAGTCTCCATTGGCTATGAGCGTGTTCTTCCTGTCACTCTACACTTGCTAGTTTCTTGTTGGAATCAGGAGAGCAGGCTTCATGCTCAGCATCTTCAGCAGGCAACAGTGGACTTCCTTGGTTTCCATTGTATTTATTTTTTTGATTTTTTGTCATTGTTGTTGTTTTTGGAGACAGAGTCTCGCTCTGTCATCCAGGCTGGAGTGCAGTGGTGCCATCTTAGCTCACTGCAACCTCCACCTCCCAGCTTCAAGCAATTCTCCTGCCTCAGCCTCCCGAGTAGCTGGGATTACAGGTGCCCACTACCATGCTTGGCTCATTTTTGTGTTTTTAGTAGAGACAGGATTTCTTTCTCTTTCTTTCTTTTTTTTTTATTTCAAAACCTAATTTTAGCTCAGAGACAGGGTTTCATTATGTTGGCCAGGATGGTCTCGAACTCCTGACTTCAAGTGATCCACTGCCTCGACCTCCCAAACTGCTGGGATTACAGGCATGAGCCACTGCCAGTAGGTGGTTAGGAAGGAAGGAAGGAAGGAAGGAAGGAAGGAAGGAAGGAAGGAAGAAGGAAGGGAGGAAGGAAGGAAGGAAGGAAGGAAGGAAGGAAGGAAGGAAGGAAGGGAGTTCGTTCAAGACCAGCCTGGTAAATGGGTGAAACCTTGAATCTACTAAAAATACAAAAAACTAGCCAGGTGTGGTGGTTCACACCTGCAATCCCAGCTACTAGGGAGACTGAGTCAGGAGAATCACTTAAGGTGGAGGTGGAAGTTGCAGTGAGCCAAGATTGCACCACTGCACTCCAGACTGGGCAACAATAGTGAAGCTCCATTCAAAAAAAAGAAGAAAGAAGAAGAAAAGGAGGGAGGGAGGGAGGGCAGGAAGGAAGTAGAGAGTTCATTAAAAAATCAAGTGTACGATAAGGAGAATAGATAGGGCAAAGGCCAGGAGCGTGTGTTTGGGAAATGAAATTTGGGAAGCCCTGAAGGGCGGGAGATGTCAGTAGGGCTGTGACTCAGCTGGCACTGAGTGGAAGCATAAAGCTATTTTCAGTGTCAACGTAACGACAAGCCTTGTTCCTTCAGTCTCAAAATTGCAGACTTCTCCCCACTCATTGGTCCTGTGGGATCCCAAGCCCTGCAGTCGCCCTGCCATCCCAGAGGCTTTGGAAAGAGGGGTTCTGGATGGTTAGGGGGCATGGATGCTAGACGGAGACAAGGCTGTGGACCACAGGGCAGGAACAAGGCCGGAGCTGCTCTAGTTTCTCCCAGGTCCCTCCGCACCGGGAGTGGCCGGCTGCTCGCCACAGCAACATCTTGTTCCTGCAAGAAATGGAGCTGGCTCAGTGGAAAGATGACTTTCCTAGGCTCGAGGGACATTTGCTTTTGGGGGCCCTTCCTCCTAGCTTGTGACTACCCTGTATAAAGACAGGTAAAATCCAGGCTGGATTTGTGATCCACTATTATTATTATTATATCACCAGTTTTTTTCTTCTGGTTTTAAAAGAAATTAAAATGTGTCTATGGGCCCTAAAAGTGTATGGGCCCTGAGCCATCATAAATCACCCTTGGGATGGCCACAGAGCCAGGAACGCTCAGAGGCCACAGGGGCATTCCAGCATCAGCTCCGAGGGTCTGCGGAGGTAGCTCCATCACATCCCTGCTGGGCAAACCCAGGCAAGTTGCTTAACTGCTCTGTGCCTCCTTTTCCTCCTCTGTTGAGAGGCCACACCGGAGAGTGGCTAAGAACACAGGCTCTGGAATCAGTTGGGGTTTGGGACCTGGCTCTCAGGAGCCTCCCTCTCCTCAGTGGAAGACGGGATATCAATCATCTTTGCCCCTCTGAGATACTGGTAAGGAGGTCATCAGATGCTGTGCACCAAGAAAATAAAAAGGATCACAATAACAGATAACCAGCTGGGCTCGGTGACTCATGCCTGTCATCCCAGCACTTTGGGAGGCTGTGGCGGGTAGATTGCTTGAGGTCAGGAGTTCAAGACCATCCTGGCCAATGTAATGAAACCCATCTCTACTAAAAATAACAAAAATCAGCTGGGCATGGTGGCACTTGCCTGCAATCCAGCTACTTGGGAAGCTGAGGCATAAGAATCTCGAACCCAGGAGGCGGAGGTTGCAGTGAGCTGAGATCGCGCCACTGCACTCCAACCTGGGCAACAGACCAAGACTCTGTCTCAAAATAATAATAAGAATAACAATAAGAATAACAGTAGCTAACTATTTCAGCAACAAGAATGAACTGGCTAACGTTGCAAGTGCAGGCATGTGGATGAACCTTGGAAACCGTACATGGAACAAAGGCAGTCGAATTCCAAAGAGCACATCCTGCATGTTTTCACTGATGTAAAGTTGGAAAGAAACAAAACAAAACAAAATGAAATGGAACTATGGTGTTTAGGGCTCCACGCTGAGGCTTGCAGAGCTTTAAAGGAAGTCGCGCAATGGATCACCAGAGAAGTCAGGGTGGTGGTCTCCTTTATAGGGAGGGAGGGGCTGAGAGAGGGGGCATGTGCAGGTCTGGGGGGCTGACCAGGCTCTGTTCCTTGCCTGGCCAGTGTCTACCAAGGTGTGCGACCTTCCCGAACATTTGTTAACCTGTTCATATATTTTTAAGCCAATTTTCTGTAGGTATAATCCAACTCTTTAAAAAACGCAAAATAAGCCTGGCGCAGTGGTTCACCCTGTAATCCCAGCACTTTGAGAGGCCGAGGCAGGCAGATCACAAGGTCAAGACATCGAGACCGTCCTGGCCAACATGGTAAAACCTCATCTCTACTAAAAATACAAAAATTAGCTGGGCGTGGTGGTGCGCGCCTGTAATCCCAGCTACTCGGGAGGCTGAGGCAGGAGAATTGCTTGAACCCGGGAGGCAAAGGTTGCAGTGAGCCCAGATCGCGCCACTGCACTCCAGCCTGGTGACAGAGAAAGACTCCATCTCAAATAATAATAATGCAAAATAGTATCAATAATGACGAACACTGGGCCTGGCACAGTGCTCACATCTGTAATCCTGACACTCTGGGGAGCTAAGGTGGGCAGATCGCTTGAGCCCAGGAATTCCAGACCAGCCTGGGCAACATGGCAAAACTGTGTCTCTAAAAAACACACAAAAATTAGCTGGGTATGGTGGCAAGCACCTGTAGTCCCAATTACTTGGGTGGCTGAGACAGGAGGATGGCTTGAATCCAGGAGATGAAGGTTGCAGTGAGTCAAGATCGTGCCACTGCACTCCAGCCTGGAAGACAGAGCAAAACCCCCATCAAAAAAAAAAGAAAAAAAAAAAACCTGACTGAGTGCCTCCCACGGTGGTGCTAGGCACCGTTGTGAGCTTCTAAGCCGGTAGCTGGCAGATAATAGGTGTTTTACAAGTGACAGCATTTAAAACTGCTGTTATTAGTGCCATCATCACTATATAGAAGGGAGTTCATGTCCCTTGTCTAAAAGGGCTCCTAAGGCCTAACTGTGAACACACGTGTGAAGCACCTGCTTGGTACCCAGCGTGTAGTAGGTGAGTGGCTCATGGCAGGTGTTCCTTATGCTTGACCCAAACTCAGGGACACTTCTCAAGCTAAATAAACCCTCCAAAAATCCCCAACGGACAGGCTAATCCCTCTCCAGGCCCATGCCCTTGGCACGCCCGCTTTCACAGCTGCCCGTGGAAAGAATCCGGCTGACGGCTCATGCCTCTCCTCGCTTGGACCTCCCCTGCTCTGCCAGTCCTTCCTGGTGAGCTCATGCCCCCATCAGACCTTCCGTCACCTGCTCTGCCAGCCTGGCCCCAGGTGGGGAGTGTGAAGAGACGCTTGTCTCAGACACAGCCCTGACTCTCCTTTCTGTCCCTTCCCATTCCTGGTGGGGACTGTGGCCCCTGGGACCCACATCTCAGCCTTGCCAAAGTACCATGTTTCACATCCCAGAGGATTTGTGTCCAGAAAGAGAAATTCTGGATTAATCCGAGTCTTACGGCTAGAAAGGCTTTTCCAAAGATTGATGGATAAACTGAAGCTCTAAAATGTGAGTGCCTATCCCAAAGAATGAATCTCTAACAGTGGAATCTCAGGTCTAGGACAGGTAAGTGGGAGGGAGGTTAGAGGGGAGGCTGGCAGGAAGGGCCACCCTATAGTGTGATAATATTGTTGCACATGTATTTACTGGGCACCTACTATGTGCCAGGTTCATCACATCCATTACATCTCATTTTCACAAAATAGGTCTTATTATATCTATTCTGCAGATTAGACATAATGACAGCAGCCCCCACTAGTGGGTATCTACAAGGGGTCAGGTGCTGTGCAAAGGGCTCAGGACCCTCCCTACAATCGTATGTGGTGGTGACTGTCAGGGTCATGCTCAGGGTTTACCCAGTCACACAGCCAGTCAGGGCCAGAGGTGGAATCTGAACCCAGATCTGTGTGTTCCCAGTGCCTCCTGTCCAGATGCATCTGTCCCTAACACCCTAACTGGCCTCGGCACTCCCCACTCTGAGTTTAGAGTGAGCAGGACTGCTTAATGTTTAAAAGAAGGAAATTAACACCCTCAATGGTAGAACTCCCTGCACAGACCCCAGGACAGCTCACGTTCCAACAGTATAATAATCCCTGCACTGGAAAGGCACGTTCTATGAAAAACACTCTAGACTAGACTTTAGAGCTTGGCTACGGAGGTCTGAGCAGTTCAGGGTCAAATCTCGTTTCTGCCATTTGCTGCGTATGTGACCTTGGGCACCTCTTTGTATCTCAGTCCACTCGTCTGGAAAGCAGAAATTCTAAAATTATCCATGATAGATTCTTGCAGTGTTTCAGTGGCGTTCTGGGTGTATGTTAGCGTGACCTCACCTCCTTCCACGCTCCGCCTCATTCGCTCTGCTACTGCCACAGTGGCCTCTTCTCCTCAGCGTCCTTGCATTCGCCGTCCCTCTGCCTGCAAAGCTTTTCCTCCAGAGATCCACATGGCTCCTCCCTCATTTCCTTCGGATGTCCACCCAAATATCACCTCCTTTCTGTTGTCCTCCATGAACAGGCTTTTAAAAATAATGGCCAGATGTAGTGGTTCACACCCATAATCCCAGCATTTTGGGAGGCTAAGGCAGGCAGATCGCTTGAGCCAAGGTGTTCGAGACTAGCATGGGCAACATGGTAAAACCCTGTCTCTACAAAAAATACAAAAATTAGCCAAGCATCGTGGCGCATCCTGTAGTCCCCGCTACTTGGGAGCTGAGGTGAGAGGATCTGAGGTGAGCCCAGGAGGTTGAGGCTGCAGTGAGCTGCAATTACACCACTGCACTTCAGCCTGGGCAACAGGGCAAGACCCAAAAAAGAAAAACAAATTAATACCCCCAGGACATCACCCTCACTCTGCTCTCTCTCCTAACACTAATCTCCCATCTGACAAACTATAGATGCACTTGTCTAATGTCCATCTCCTCCTGGCAGAAGGGAAGGGACCTTCCTGTCTGCACAAGGGAAGGGACCGGGGCTGTTTTCTTCACTGCAGACTCGCCAGTGCCCAGAACAATGCCTAGCACATGCTCAGCACTGAATGAATGAAGGAGTATAAAGAGCCTGGCATAATTCTCAGCTCATAGGAAGCACTTGATCAGTGTAAGCCAGTATTATAATTAGAATGCGTAAAGTGCTTTCCAAGATATCTTGCCCCAGTGGGAGGCAGTCTAGAGGGATAATGTAAGCCAAATCTGGGTCAAACCCTGCTGTGTGACCTTGACTAAGTCACACTGCCTCTCTGAGTTGGTTTGCCCATCCATAAAATGAGAGTAACTAGGCCGAGCACAGTGGCTCACACCTATAATCCTAGCACTTTGGGAGGCCAAGGTGGGTGGATTACAAGGTCAGGAGTTCAAGACCAGCCTGGCCAACATAGTGAAATCCCGTCTCTACTAAAAACTACGAAACTGAGCCAGGCACGGTGGCAAATAGCTGGGATTACAGGTACCTGTCATCCCAGCTACTCAGGAGGCTGAGGCAGGAGAATCGCTTCAACTCAGGCAGCAGAGGTTGCAGTGAGCCGAGATCGTGCCACTGCACTCCAGCCTGCACGACAGAATGAGACTCCATCTCAAAAAAAAAAAAAAAATGAGAGTAACTAAACTTGGCCTTTAAGGGACTCGTGAGGGTTCAATAACCATGTGAGCTTCCTTTTCTTGGCTACCTTCTGGACGTCACAAGCTGTCCTAGGTCCTCATCTTGCACCATCTCACTTAGCCCTGCCCCTGCCCAAGGGAGAATTCCTCTTATTATCTGTATCTTCAGATGAGGCACTTAGTGATCCGAGAGGTGATAAGATTTGCCCAAGTTTACAGCACTGGAAGTGGCAGGACCCGGCTCCTAACTGGCTGGTCTCCTGGGACATTGGGATTGGGACCCTGCTGGTCCCCGCCCTGACCAGAGAGCAGCTTCTCTCTCCCGGGGTGCTGTCTCAGGCAGCAGAGATGCCCCGGGCTCTACAGGCACATTTGCCCATGCCCGAGTCCCGTTGCTCACCCTTGGGCCCCACCGCTGTCCCCGCAGCAGCGCTAGCTCCTGGTGTCCTGGGCAGGCCATCACACCTCACACAGACCGTGGGGCCCTGGGTCAGACACCTTGTCCACTGGTCAGGAGGTGCCCTCAACTGCCTGCAACTCCCTGGAGTGGACTCCAACTGGAACTGGACACGGTACATGCAGCGACACAGGAAGATACCACCCCAAGTACCCATGAGCATTTATGAAGCACCGAGTGTGCGCCCAGCCCTGTCTTAGGCCCAGGTGGTACAATTTCTCCCTGATACAGAAACCTTGTATAACCCAATTGGCCTCAACAAGTTGCATACAGCAAGACTCGGCTCCTGCTTTTTAAGTTAACATTATGGAGGGTTTACCATGTACCCTGTTCTAAGCACTTTATCCAAAAGACTGAATGTTTTATTTTTCCTGTCTTCCCCATTAGAACGCTGGCTCCACAATTTCAGGAATGTTCATCTGTTTTCTTTACTGTTAGGTCCAACTCCTAGAATTATATCCAGCTCAATTTTTCACATGTTAAATAAATCTTTGGGACCAATGGAATATGGAACACCTGCAAGGTAGGTGTTTCCCCTGGTTTACAGATTAGGAAACTGAAGATCAGAGGGGCAGCTCGCCCAAAGTCACACAGCTAATCAGCAGTGGGACCAAAAATGGAACCATCTCTGCTGAAAATAAGCCTAAAGGGATACTCTTAAGCACTCCACTGCCTGCGTTTTTTCAAAAGATCCTATTTTATTAAAAAGATTTGCCTCCAAAAAAAGAAAAAAGAAAAAATCAAGGCCAGGCACGATGGCTCACTGCAGTGGCCTGCAATTCCAGCACTTTGGGAGGCCGAAGCTGGCAAATCACCTGAGGTCAGGAGTTCGACACCAACCTGGCCAACATGGTGAAACCCCGTCTGTACTAAAATTACAAAACTTCACCAGGCATGATGGCTCACACCTGTAGTCCCAGCTACTCAGGAGGCTGAGGCAGGAGAATTGCTTGAACCTGGGAGGCAGAGGTTACAGTGAGCTGAGATCATGCCACTGCACTCCAGTGTGTGCAACAGAGTGACACTCAGTCTCAAAAAAAAAAAGAAAGAAAGAAAGATTTTCAATTAGAATTATTTAAAAGAGAAGCTCCTCATTCAAGGGTATCTGAAATAAGACCCAGAATTTGCCAAAATTATACTTCTACCCAATGTTTTCTACAAGGAGCAGTAAATAGCACCCCCTGCTGGAGAAGACGCCACATGTCAAGGACTCGGGAATGACTCTGTGAAGCTGCTGTCCCCTGGTGGCCAGAGGGCCCCACGGTTTTCTTCCAGGTGCAGCGAAAAGCCCGTCCCTAGTCCCTTCCTCTCTGATCTGCCCCTATTGCCCCTTGGGAATCTGTGTCCTACCAGATGCCTGTGATCACTGAAAATTGCGTCTTCCCCACACAACTTCTCTTCCCCTTTTGGCAGTTTGTTTGAAAAATTCTTGACATCGCTCTATGGTCTTGGAGGGGTCATCACTCAGCCAGCCTGGCCGTGGCTCCCATAGCTGCCACTAAGGCAGACACATGATTAGAGTTGAGCGGCCAGAGTTCCCCATCTTCCTGGCCATGACGACTGGCTCAGGGATGGGCCCGGGATCCAAGCAGTTCCAATCAGGGTCTCCTCCAGATATGATCCACAGAGACTTCCGAGAGGACACCTTTGGGGTTACTGAACTGGGAGGACGTGGGGCTGCTTATCCCCACAATGTCTCCAAGATGCTCATCTTGACCACCACAGGGAAAGAGCCTGCTTAAGAATAAAGCCAACCCATAGAGCAAGTGACAGAACGAGAGGGGACAAGAGCCAGCTCTGACAGCCTTACATGCACTCTTGGTGCCAGCCCAGCTTGAAGTAATGTCATTTCAGAACTTCCCTCCCAGTTATCTCAACCAATACTTCTCCTTTTCACTTGATGCGATCTGAGCTAAGTTTCTGTCACTTGCAATCCAAAGAATCCTATCTCTTTTAGTTCTCCTGTCCATCTCCATTGCCACTGACTTAGTTCAGACCTTATTCTTTCAACTGATATTTACTAAGTACCTATCATGTGCCAGGCGCTCTCCTGGAAGCTTGACCTCAGCTCTGCGATCCTGCAACATGCTGATCTGTCGCCAACCCACACAATCCATCCTTCACGAGGTACGCCAAAACCACCCTGGTCCAATTACCTTCTTCCTTCGCCTGGACCGCTGCCCTTGCCACCTCATTGGTCTCCCGAGTTACCCCCCTGCTTCTCCTCTATCCATTCTCCAAGTAGGATCCAAAGGAATCCTACAAAGACCTAAGTCAGATTGTGTCACTCCTCTGCTAAAATCCCTACCACGGGCCAGACATGGTGGCTCATGCCTGTAATCCCAGCACTTGGGGAGGCCAAGGCCTGCAGATCACCTGAGGTCAGGAGTTTGAGACCAGCCTGGCCAACATGGTGAAACCCCATCTCTACTAAAAATACAAAAATTAGCCAGGCATGGTGGCAGGCACCTATAATCCCAGCTACTTGGGAGGCTGAGGCAGGAGAATAGCTTGAACCCAGGAGGCAGAGGTTGCGGTGAGCTGAGACCATACCATTGCACTCCAGCCTGGGCAACAAGAGCGAAACTGCATCCAAAAAAAAAAAAAACAAAAACCTACCATGACTCCCATAGCATGAGAGAAAATGCCCAACTCCTCCCCACGGCCTACAGGCCCCACGGGATCTACCTCCTGCCCCATGATCTTTCCAACCTCATTTCCTATTCTCTCCCTGCACTCCAACTACACCCGCCTTCTTGCTGATCCTTGAACACACTAGGCAGGTCCTGCCCCAGGACTTTTGCACTTGCTGTTTCCCTCTTCCAGGCACACTCTTCCCCCAAATCTCCTCCTCCAGTTCTTAGTTCAAATGTCATCTTCTCAGGGAGGATGTCCTTGGCACTCCCACCCCTTCCCTGCTTCATCTTCTCCATGACACTTGGGCCCCAACATGTTGTTTGTTTTTTGTCTCTCTCCCCCACTAGACTGTCCACTCAATGAGGATCAAGTATTTCTTTTTTATTCCCTACCATAGCCCCAAGGCCTAGCACAGTACCTGTCACCAGTCAAAGTTGAATAAATGGATGAATGAATGAAGCTGAATGGAGACTAATTATTGAGGACTTAAAAATCAATGTTGGGCCAGGCATGGTGGCTTGCATCTGTAATCCCAGCACTTTGGGAGGCCAAAGTGGGTGCATGGGTGGATGACCTGAGATCAGGAGTTCGAGACCAACCTGACCAACATGAAAAAACCCCATCTCTACCAACAGTACAAAATTAGCCGGGCGTGGTGGCATGCCCCTGTAATCCCAGCTACTCGGGAGGCTGAGGCAGGAGAATCACTTGAAGCCAGGAAGCAGAAGTTGCAGTGAGCTGAGATTGTGCCGTTGCACTCCAGCCTGGGCAACAAGAGTGAAACTCCATCTCAAAAACAAGAAATCCATGTTAATGAGCTTGCAGATGTAACAGGGTGACAAATGGGGAGATATAGATGTTATCAAAGTAAGTGAAAGTCATGATAAATGAAATTTAGGGCAGGGTGCAGTGGCTCACGCCTGTAATCCCAACACTTTGTGAGCCAGAGGCAGGCAGATCACCTGAGGTCAGGAGTTCAAGACCATCCTGGCCAACATGGAGAAACCCCACCTCTACTAAAAATACAAAAATTAGCTGTGTGTGGTGGCTCGTGCCTGTAACCCCTGCTATTTGGGAGGCTGAGGCATGGGAATGGCTTAAACCCGGGAGGCAGAGGTTGCAGTGAGCTGAGATCGCCCCACTGCACTCCAGCCTGGGTGACAGATCAAGACTCCATCTCCAAAACAAAAAAGAAAGAAAAGTGCCTCACGCCTGTAATTCCAACACTTTGGGAGGCCAATGCGGGTGGATCATGAGGTCAAGGGAACAAGACCATCCTGGCCAACATGGTAAAACCCCATCTCTACTAAAAATACAAAAAAATTAGCTGGGCGTGGTGGCACGCGCCTGTGGTCCCAGCTGCTTGGGAGGCTGAGGCGAAGAACTGCTTGAACCCGGGAGGCGGAGGTTGCAGTGAGCCGAGATTGTGCCACTGCACTCCAGCCTGGTGACAGAGCAAGACTCTGTCTCAAAAAAAAAAAAAGAAAAAGAACAAATTTAGTTCAAGGAAATATGTTCACAAATTTTAGTTTGACTTCAAGTTCATTGATTTTCACTTACCTGCTGTTGCCTGTTTCTTGGGAATATCTTGCTTTTCCTGCTCTTTCCCATAGCTGCCTCTGGTTATCAAAGTAGGGACTGTGGGTCAAGGAGAAAACAGAGTTAGGTAGGACCACATCCCAGGCTATGGCACCGTAGGGACACCAAGCTCGGTACCTCTGGTATCCAAGTCACTTACAGGACAGCCCTAAGGAGACTCTAGGATCTTTAAACTGGGTAGATGATCCCTACCAGTGCCCTTTATAGTGCTGAAAGCAGGACCATAATTATCTCTGAGATTCCAGAGCCTGGTGTATAGTGGTTTCAAAAATTCTTTTTGAATGAATGCTTTGCTGAATGAATAAGTGAATGATTTTTTAAGAGTTAGTTAGCCAGGAGCAGTGTCTCATGCCTGTAATCCAAGCACTTTGGGAGACCAAGGCAGGAGGATTGCTAGAGCCCAGAAATTTGAGACCAGCCTGAGCAACATGGTGAAACCTTATCCTTCAAAAATTAGCCAGATGTGATGGTGTGCACCTGTAGTCTCAGCTATTTGGGAGGCTGAGAGGGGATGATCACCTGAGCCCAGGAGATCAAGGCTGCAGGGAGCCATGATTGCGCCACTTCACTCCAGCCTGGGCAACAGAGCAAGACCTTGTCCCTGCCCCACCCCCACCCCCAAAAAAAGATAGGCAAGGCTCAGTGGCTCACGCCTGTAATCCCAGCACTTTGGGAAGCCAAGGCAGGCAAATCACCTGAGGTCAGGAGTTCAAGACCAGCCTGACCAACACAGAGAAACCCCTTCTCTATTAAAAATACAAAATTAGCCAGGCATGGTGGTGCATGCCTGTAATCCCAGCTACTTGAGAGGCTGAGGCAGAATTGCCTGAACCCAGGAGGTGGAGGTTGCAGTGAGCCAAGATTGCGCCATTGCACTCCAGCCTGGGCAACAAGAGTGAAACTCCATCTCAAAAGAAAAAAAAGAAAGATAAAAGATAAAAGAATCAATAACTATCAGCACCATAGGAAAGGCAAAAAATTAATTTAAAAAGAAGAAAATAAAATTTTTAAAGTCAAGGACTGAATGAATAAATGGATGGATAGCTGAAATGATGGAAGAAAGAAAGAATGGATTATAAAAGGTAGATAAGTGGGAAGAAGGGAGGATGGAAGAAAGGAGAGCAAGAGATGAGTAGAAGAATGGATGGGTGAAAGAGAGGGTGAATGGAAAGGATGGATGGAGAGTTGACGGTGAATGGACAGGTGAATGAATAAAGAGATGGATGGCTGGATGGATGGGAAGATAGAAAAATGGAAGAAGGGATGTGAAGAGAGATGAGTGGAAATGGCTAGATGGATGAGTAGATGCATAGGCGGATGGATGGATGGGAGAACAGATGAATGAGTGAATGGAACAATGGAAAGATGGGAGAAAGGAGGTATGGGGGTGGATTGATGGATAGATGAATGAATAAAATTATTTTACTGGGCCAGCTTCCAAGTTTCTTCCTTTCTAGTTCAAACAGAGGAGAACACAGAAGAGGATAATTGATAATCAATTCACAAGTGGTTGGTGATTCCTTAGGAATCCCTAACACACAGCCTCCCTTCCCTCTTCCAACAGCTGTAGTGGTACTTTCGGTGTCACCTAGAGCAGTAAGGAGAGCCCCAGCTAAGCCCAGGTTCTAGTCCCAGGTCCCCTTGTTATAGCTGAGTGACCTTGATCAAGTTTCTGCACCTCTATGAGCCTCATTTTCCTTATCAGCAAAATGCAGGTAATATTAGTACCTACATCCTGGGGTGATTGTCAGAATACAACATAACATTGGTCCAGGGTCTGGCACAAGGCAGGTGCTCAGCCAGTGTTTCTTCCCTTTGTAATTTGCTTGACATTGTTAGCTACTGTGATTCAGCTATTACTCATGCTGTTGTGAAGGGACAAGCACTCACATACAGAGGTGAGATGTTTTGAAAGCAGGTTTAAGGGATCAGTCATAAAGACCAGAGCCTCCTGGCTGGAATAGCGAGCAAGGAAAATAATTCAGCTGCTGTTTATTGAGCACTTATGAGCCAGGTGCTCATCATATATCATCTTATTACATTCTGACAGCACTTTGGGAGGCCAAGGCAGGAGGATCACCTGAGGTCAGGAGTTTGAGCTCACACTGGCCAACATGGTGAAACCCCGTCTCTACTAAAAATACAAAAATTAGCTGGGTGTGGTGGTGCATGCCTGTAATCCCAGCTCCCCGGGAGGCTGAGCCAGGAGAATTGCTTGAATCCAGAAGGCAGAAATTGCAGTGAGCCGAGATCACACCGTTGCACTCCAGCCTGGGCAACAAGCAAGACCCTGTCTCAAAAAAAAGAATAATACAACAAAAGATTGTAGGTAGGTGATCAGGATGGGAGGACCTGGTTCTCTAGTCAATAGCCATGTGACTTGGACAAGCTTTGTAGCCTCCTTGAGCCTCAGTTTCCCTGTCTGTAAGAAGAGAATAGTAACACTGACCTCACAGAGTCAGGTCATGTGGTGAGGTACTTGGCACATATTAGCAAGTCAGGGTGATCTTCCCAATCTTCCTGGGGGAAACTGACATCTTTACAGTAAGTGATGATCCAGGAATGGCTGGATGGGGGTGGGAAGGGGTAGGGAGAAACATTTCAGGCCTAGGAAATGATATTCCCACTTTTTATCACCCCACTGCCACCTCCCTAGTTCAGCCACCATAATCTCTTGCCTGAACCATTGCAGCCATCTCTTCCCTGGGGTCCCTGATTCCCTCTGACTCCTTTCAGTCTGCTGTCCACATATCAGTCAGAATGGCCCTTTGATTGATTGGTTGGTTAGTTGATTGATTTTTAGAGACAATGTCTCGTCTCGTAGTGCAATCATAGTTCATTAAACCTCAAACTTCTGGCCTCAAGTGATCCTCCAGCCTCAGCTTCCCAAGTAGCTGGGACTACAGGTGTGCTCACCACCACACCCAGCCTGATCCTTTAAAACACAGGCAGAATGAGCAGGGAAACCAGGTCTCAGAAGGCAACAGCCAGCACACGTGGAATCTATATGCCCCATGAGGAGTTTGGGTTTCAGCCAGAGGACAATGGGCAGCTACTGAAGAACTTAAAACAGGAGAGTGACAGCATGGTGGGATCTGTGTTTCAGAACAGTCTTCCCTCCCCACCGGGCTGAAGCATGGGAAGAGATTGGAAAAGGATATTTTAGTCCTATTGCTTGTCTTCTACCCCTTAGGAAAATCACTTTCATTCTCTTGGTCAATGTCTTCAGCTATAAAATGGGCATCACTGGCCAGGTATAGTGGTTCATGCCTGTAATCCCAGCACTTTGGAAGGCCGAGGCGGGTGGATCACAAAGTCAGGAGATGGAGACCATCCTGGCTAACACAGTGAAACCCCGTCTCTACTAAAAATACAAAAAATTAGCCAGGCGTGGTAGTACACGCCACACACCTGTAGTCCCAGCTACTTGGGAGGCTGAGGCAGGAGAATCTCTTGAACCTGGGAGGCAGAGGTTGCAGTGAGCCAAGGTCACGCCAGCACACTCCAGCCTGGGTAACAGAGCAAGATTCTGTCTCAAAAATAAATAAATATTTTTAAAATAAAATAAAATGGGCATCACCACTTTTTGTGGCGATAAAAATAGCAGCCTATTTTTTGTAGCGACCTTGATCAGGGTGAGCAATGCAGCAGGCATCTGTTGTTTTCCCTGCCAGGCAGCCATTCTCCACAATTGTCCTGTAAGAACACCCCTTCTCTACTCTCATTCAGGTGGGGGTGAGTCCCCTTTGCAGCTTCAAAGGGAGCACTTTATCCATGAGACTCTATTCTAGGATATTTGCTGGAACTATGGGGAAAGGGGTCTTCTCTTCAGCTGTTAGGCTGGTTGGAGGGAAGCCTGAAGCTGTCAAAGACCATTAGAGGGAAAAGCCTCCCTGAGAATGAGGCCAACTGAGAGGAAAACAGAGCTAAGATATGGAGAGAGATTCCTGGCAACATTGTTTGAGCTCCTGGATCCAGCCATGCCTGAATGCAGTCCTTAGAATCTTAGTTACAGGAGCCACCCATGTTTGCTCAGTTCAGATTAAGTTGGGTCTCCTGTCACCTGCATCCAAAGTCCTGACAGATTCACACAGGAAGAGGAGCAGAAAGAAGACTGAGAAGCCCGGTGGAGGTCAGAGCTTCTGAACTCATTCACAAAAAGAGAAGGGGGATCAGGGCAACGGCAGGCAAAGCCCCACCCCAAACTCAGACCCCACCCAGGAATTCATGGAGGGCCCTGCCGTCCAGCCTGACTGTTCCCACTGAAAGCCACCCCTGGGCCCCACCCCCACTCACTCAAGGACTGCTGGCACTCCACTCCCTGGTGGCTCCAGTACTCCACACAGCCCACCTGCTCTTCCAGCGGGGGGCAGGGAACACCCCCATTCCTCAGCTTCTGCAGGACACGCCTCCGGCATACATGGTAGGAGGCCTGGCAGGGCTTCACACAGCGACTCCAGCCACTCCACTCTGACACAGCGCAGGAGACCGCTGGAAGAGAAAGTGGTGTCTTCAGGCGAGACCTCTGTGGGGTTTAGCTGGCCAGCATCCAGGTCTTCTCCACCTTCCCCACAAGCTGAATCCCCAAAACACCACACCCAGTGCTAGAACTCTTGCAAACCTGAGTCCATGCCTTCCTTGAAAGTTTCCCTATGACAGCTGTTTGTATGTCCACCTAAACTTAGAATTCCACATTGATCCAATCATCCAATTGATGATCACTTAGGTCGCCTCCATCACTCATTCCTTCAATAAACATTTCCTAAGCACTTAGGGCAACTGATGCCTCAATTTCTTCTTTTGTCAAATGGGAATAAGAATAGTATCTAACTGATTGGGAAGGGGCCTTAAAGGTTCAATCAAATATGAAATACAAAACATTTGTTCCTGGAACATAGCAGCTGCTTAATAAACACTATTCCTCTGCAGCAGTGAAAATGAACCTACACTGTCGACACGAAAGCTACTCGAAAGCTACACTGTCAACAACCTGGAGAGGAAATAAATTACTTGTAAAAGAATTCACCTGTCTAATGTGATGCTTTTTATATACAGTCTTGTTTGTTTGTTTGTGATGGTGTCTGGCTCTGTCGCCCAGGCGACAGTACAGTGGTGTGATCTTGGCTCACTGCAACTTCTGCCTCCCGGGTTCAAACAATTCTCCTGCCTCAGCCTCCTGAACAGCTGGGATTACAGGCACCCACCACCAAGCTTGGCTAATTCATTGTATTTTTATCAGAAACAGGGTTTCTCCATACTAGCCAGGCTGGTTTCAAACTCCTGACCTCAAGTGATCCACCCACCTCAGCCTCTCAAAGTGCTGGGATTACAGGTGTAAGCACCGCACCCAGCGTATACACAGTTTTTAAACCTGCAAAAGGCTACTATAAAGTATTTAGGCATTCATTACAGGTATAGTAAATACATACATATGCAGCCAGTCCTCATTATTCACAGATTCTATATTTGCTACTTCGCTTATTTGTTAAAATTATTATTATTATTTGTGGACACACTTTTTCATTAGTTTATTACAAAACTACAGACACAATATACAACATTCTAACTCCTAAATCCTCCTGCCATTTTTTTTTTTTTCCTGAGACTAAACGCCCTCAAAACCCCCTGTCTTCTTGGCCCATAATACAACCCGACTCCTCGGCTCCTGGATGCACAGGTCAGAGGTTCCAACAAGTCTGACCATGGTCAGTGCTGTGGTGCCACTCCCAAGGTGGCTGAGCCTTCTGCGAAAATTTAAATTGCTGCTAAGTCATTCTAAATAAATAGTGAATGGATTGTTTCTGCCCCTAAGATGAAATCCCACACATCTTATGCTCAAGCTCAGGCACCTAGAAAGTATGGTGGAATCTTCACTGACTTGTTAACCCTGGGAGTGCCCCTTGTGATCTAGATGAGTCAAAACAAATGGCCAGGACCTATTCCACAAAGCCCATGATGGCCCTACTGGCTGTGTCTCCAGTTGGTGCCTGGACACTGCCCATGCACTTCAGGGCCATTCTGACCATTTGGTCTCTTTGCTGGGGGCTGTGGGGTGCTCCAGTGTCATCTCCTTCTGCTCCTTATTTTAGAAACTGTAGGATATAGGACTGGAGCATATTCCCATTCAGTTCAAGGGTTTCTCGGATACAAAGCAAGACTGAGGCACTGGCCAAGCTCCGGAAGTAAATGAGTGCCTGGCAGATTTGGGTCTGTAGGCTAGCACAGTACTTGAATTCCAAAAAGGCTGTGGTGTCTTCGCTCTTCTGTAAGCCAGTGACCAATGCGTTCCAGATCCAATCCGAGCATACTGGTCAACAGACCCATACTGCTCTCTCTTGCCCAGGATGGCAAGGGCAGTGGTAGATCTGATGCACACTTTGAAGTCCTTGCATGATGTCACAACTGATGTCAGGGTGCTGTAGGCCTGGGAGGTCCATGGGGCTGTCCTTTCTTGTCATCTGAATGTCTCCTCCCTACACTAAAGCATGAGGTCCACAAGGTCTATGGTTTTGTCCATTTTGTTCACTGCCATTTTCTCCAGAGCTGAGAACAGTGCGCAGTCCCTAGTGGGTGCTAATTAAACATCTTTAATGGACTTGACATCTGAGGTCTTCTCTTGTTCTTTGCCTTTCACCTTCCGCCGGAAGAAGGACGTGGCGGGGCCCCCGGGTCGGGGCGGAGGGTGCAGGGGGAACTGGAGCGGGGAGGTCCCGGCTCCCCTCATTCAGCAACCGGCCCGGACTTCCGGGTCCACAGGCGCCGCCGCACTAGCGCGAAAAGAGACCCTTCTTCCTGAAGTTGGCCCCACCGCCTCCTCGGGATGCCCAGGCAGCTCCAGCCGCCATATTATCAACAAGCCCTGTTAAAATTATTTTTAACCCTAAAATCAATACTTGCAGCACATTTGTGGTTACTCACAGACAAGCAGAGATTAGTGAAAAATGTGAGTCACTCAATGTGCACATTCCAAGCTGAAGTCAAACAGGGCCCCACTCTGTCTTCTTGTTCCAGTCTCATAAGGACATTACCAGTGGACAGAGACAGTCGGGGCAGGTCTCTGCAGTGCAAGCAGCTCCAGCGCTGGGCCAGTTGCCTGGGGTTTGAATCCCAACTCCAGCACTTGTTAATGGGGCAGCCTTTGGGAGTCCTTTAACACTTCCTAACACTCTTGTAAAATGAAGAAAATGGAATTGACCAGGATGAGTTGTTTTTAGGATCTAAAGCATAACCTGGCCAGTGTGGTGGCTCATGCCTGCAATCCCAACACTTTGGAAGGCCAAGGTGGGTGGATCACGAGGTCAGGAGTTCAAGACCGGCCGGGGCAACATGGTGAAACCCCATCTCTACTAAAAATACAAAATTTAGCTGGACATGGCGTGCGTCTGCAATCCCAGCTACTCAGGAGGCTAAGGCAGGAGAATCGTTTGAACCCAGGAGTCAGTGGTTGCAGTGAGCCGAGATCGTGCCATTGCACTCTAGCCTGGGTGGCCGGACGAGACTCAATCTCAAAAAAAAAAGAAAAAAGTATAATCTATGTGAGATATGTGTGTACATATTTCTCATAGAGGCCATTGGTTAATTCAGTATTCATGGCAACTTTACAGAACATAACTACTGTGAATCACAAGAATGTCCTGTAGCCAGGCGCCATCACTCACACCTGTAATCCCAGCACTTTCGGAGGCTGAGGCAGAAGGATCACTTGAGCCCAGGAGTTTGAGACCATCCTGGACAACATAGTGAAATCCCATCTCCACCAAAAAAGAAAAATGCAAAAACTAGCCAGGCATGGTGGTGCACGCCTGTAGTCCCAGATACTAGGGAGACTGAGGCAGAAGGATCGATTGAGCCTGGGAGATAGAGGTTGCAGTGAGCCAAGATCACGCCACTGCACTCCAGCCTGGGTGACAGACTGAGACTCTGTGTCAAAAAAGAATGTACTGTGTATATTTATGTACATAAACACACACACATCCATATATGCATGCGAAGTCTAAATGTCAAATTCAGCATTGTGGTTATCTCTGGGGAGAGTGAGAAAGAAGGTGACCGCGGGAGGGAAACAGGCACTCCAGTGGCAATTGTCAAGGTTTGTTTCTTAGCTTTTCCCAAGGGTTTGTTGTATTATCTCTCTACATTGGTATATGTCTGAAATATTTCATCATCACAAAAGGAAGATGCTGGGGTCCCCATCCTTGGGGTGCTCCACGTGTCTACCACAGGCGGTATTTTCTGATGTGACCCCTGGGAGCGCCACTTCTTCATTTCAAGTCAGGACTGGAGGAAATCAGACAGAGAAAGGCGGTCTGGCAGAAATGGAATCTGGGCACCTCCCCAGTGAGATGAGAGGCTTTCTACGGATATGCCAGCAAGTTTTGTCAGCGGCAGTGGCACACACACATTTCCTGCACATGCAAGGCGGCTACCACCATCAGAATTAATTCATTCATTCCCCAAACATTTACCGAGCGTCTGCAGAGCCCAGCACTGTCTTGGGTGCTGGAGACACAGCGTTTAATAAGAAAGATGAGTTCTGTCTCCTGGAAAAGCACTCCCAGCTATGAGGCATGTCCTAGTTCAGCAACGTGAAAATGAGAAGGGGGAATAAACCGTGTGCATCGCTGATGAAGGAACAGCGTTATTGTGCTGAAGTCAAGCAGCAGGGCCTCTGGCAAGTCAGGAAGGCAGGTATTCTTTGCATAAATCTCAGAGGTTTAAATTTTTTTTCTTGGCGCAAATAGTCCTTCAATCTGCCCATCTTAGCAGAATTGAAATGCTCAGAGGGAAGGAAGGAAAAAGGAAGGAAGGTAAACAAGAGAAGAAAGGAAACAGAAAGAGGGAGGGCAGGAAGGAGGAGGGAGGAAGAAATCCAGTGTGTGAAAACCTAAGAATGATTAATTGCTTTCCTCGTCCATCTAATAACCCCATTCATTGTGCTTTGGGTGCAAAACCAAGCAAGTCACATACATGACTTCATTTAATTCACACAACAGTCTTCTGAAGCTCTGCACTCCCTATTTGTACTCAGCCTTCAGCAAGCCTGTGCATCTCCCAGCCTCTTCGTGGCTGCCAGTAGCATTGAACCAGTAAAGAACACCAGCAGGGATGAGAAGGACAGAGGGCAGGAGGAGATGCAGCCAAGCTGTTTATTGTCCCCCATTTTGGGGAAGGGGACCCTCGGCTGTGGATCCTGCTCTCACTGGCTCCATTACACCATTTCCTCCTGTGCTATACTGCTGCCCCCACCTCTGTGAATAGAGCCCTTGTTTTCCATGATGCCCTTCTGGGGGTACCATCAGTCACTTGCCAGGAGCTTAACTCCTAATGTGTTTGCGCTATTGTCAAACCCAGCTCAGGGATGAGCCCACTGGGGCTTAAGAGGCAGAATCCTCTGGCCAGGCACGGTGGCTCACGCCTGTAATCCCAGCACTTTGGGAGGCCAAGGCAGGCGGATCACCTGAGGTCAGGAGTTCGAGACCAGCCAGACCAAT